TGGAGAGAAAATGACCCTTTCGCTTTTGGGTTGTTCAAGGTTCGTGATTCAAATGTCCTAAATGATCTAGATATCTGAGACACTGAAGTCATAATAAGAGTCGTACCGGGAGAGTATCTGAAATCTGGCGAGCTTGTGATTTTTTGTATTAAAATATACACGTATAGCCGTTTTATGAGCAGCTATTCAAGCGAGAACACAGAGTTGATAAAAAACAGAACTACATTGGATTCTTGTATTAAACTTCAACTGTTTAATTTCCCTTCTGTTCCCTTGCATTCACATGTGTGGGATGGAAAGGTCATGTGGAGTATTTGTAATTGAAACGACACATAAACCTACACATATATCAAAGAATGATTTTGATGTCGGCGCTGGTACCAATTTTGCTCTGAAGATACTATACAACAAAATTTCCGAGCAGTTACCAAGAACAACTGATAACACGTACGCCTGAATAAATTTTATCACTCAAATCACATTTGTTTAGACCATGGAGGAATAGACCTGCCGGTCGCCGTAAATCAATTTATTTTGCGCGCAGCCGAGGGACTCTCTGCTGGACCGTCTTTTGCGAAGTGCAAATGAAACTCGGCCTCCTTCCCAAACGTGACTCCGCCATGATGTGGAGGAAGAAGGGAATGTGATAGCACATGGAATAGGAAGAGTGTGTGTTGGGGGGGGGATCACAAAAGTCATATATCATGGCTTGCGTGTCATGACAACAGTCTTGATTGACAGACGTCTCGACTGGCCTGTTCACTTCACTGCGCAGCTGCATCCCAAATCGCCTTAGTGCGTCCAACGACTGTTGCAATTTGCACTCGTCACGTGCACAAAGTGCAGGTTACGGCACGTACATGTACATACTGATGTATGTACACAATTTTTTTGTTATAAAAAAAAACCAATTTGCAATTCTATAAAGCAGATTAATGTTTACCGTACATACCTACGTTCCACATAAATTATATACTCAAAACTCGTCAAGTTTCTTTCACCAAATGCTAACAAGTAGACCTTTGATTGTTTTCTAAAAAAACACTTTGACTTTGTTGACGGTCACTAGTAGTGCGACTGTCAAAGTCAAATTTTTTTTTGAAAAAAAAGACTACTAGAAATTAAAAGTTTACAACACCCCAATGAATACGCGCTAAATGCAATGTTAATTTCCTCCGAGTTCCACTCAACCCGAGTATTATTTAATAATTAAATTGCATACAACAGCCGTCGGAAATTGCCCATCTCATTATGATGCACCTGTACACAGTTATAATACCACACAGTTTGTATAGGATGCCCTGGACGTACACGACGTAAAAGAACGTGTGCATGTGAATTCACAAATTACATGGCTGCTTTCTCCGGGCCAAAGTGATCGAATCTAGCCGCCTAAACTGTCAATTCCCAGCCAGATTACTGGCATATCGGCGAGTTCATCGGTCTCTCTGGCTCTCCTAGATTGATGTGGATACTGAGGGAGTGAACAATATCGCCTTTGGATGAGTATTTGAGGGAAATTTTCCGTTTGATGGTTTTGGCAGAGAACGGCGCCGAACACAGCGCACGGTGAATCTGACCGCATACACGGCATACGTTGGCCCAAATGGCACAGAGGGTGGGTAGCAATTCTATTGTGCTTGGCGTATAATCCAGACAGCTCATTTGCTTGATTTAGGTTTTGTTCGCCCCGCGATTGTTGGTGTTTCTAATAGTCGAGGACGTGCTTTGTGTATATTTGTATCGCATTATTTAACACACAAAAAAAGGTTTGCATGTGTTAGCAGCAATAAGGTTTACCCTGGCTTGTAATAAGAGTCTTCTTGTATGTTGTGAATGGACCAGGCCAGGGTTGGAAGCATTCTTGTGCAGCTAGCCCTAAGTCGTGGAAGATGCAGCTGTCATTGGTAGTCCTTGTGGTCTTGTTTTTCTTGTTAAGTGCAGAGGAATGTTGTAGTAAGGACATAGAGAAGTATTTTATTCATCAGTGAGCATAGCCATAGTGTCAAACAGAAGGAATAGCTAATGTAATATTCTAATGCTACGCTTTTCGTTATGTCTCCGGTGATGGTCATTAGTTGTATACACAGTAATACAAGCTGGGAGATCTCCACATTTTTGTTGCACTTGACTTTTTTCTTACTCTTCTTACAAGGCGTATGTCAGTGCAGTCATATTACCTTTTGCAGCCTTGGCAATCTTCCTTGTCCTTAAAGGAGACAAGGAGGACATTGCTAGAAAATTTGAAATTCTTACCAATTTTTGGAGTTCAGGACATGCTTTTTAAGAGTAGCATGGTAAGGATTGCTGTAGATATTACATTGAAAAAATCTGAAATTTGAACTGGGACGCTTCTCTTTTGAGAATGCATTTTTTTTCATAACTCCCCACTGTAGACTTTTTTGCACCCGTAGTTAAGATACTGGTTTTGATATGCAATGTAAAGGTTACTTGTCATTTGTGACCGATTGTATGCTTTTTCTAAGTGGAGTGTTGCAGGGTGTCATCCATCAGAGACCCTCGTAACTCTTCAAAATCAGTGAGCAGAGTGGCAATGCTTTTTAAAAAGTATGAGTTGAAATATTGAGGAAAGGTTCATCAAAGTATGTTTCTCATCAGTGGGACATCTATGGCTTACATGTGTATGAAAGGCACACATACTGTCTGCAGTTGTAAGAGATGGAATTCGATGGCTCACTTTGGTCACAAATATGTGAAGGCCTAAGCTTGAAAGGAGTACCTTAGAGTTAAGGACATGAGCAGTTTTACCAGAAATCACCAGAGGAGATGTATACATGTAAGCCCACGACAGTTTTAAACTGTGACAATTTCAAACTTTCAAGGAAAATTTGAGCACATCCTGGTCATGTACATGCACATGTGTGCCTACGTGTATATGTATGTTCTCATTGCCTGGTGGCAGGTCAAACAGTCAAATTTCCCATTTGTTTTCTACACCCACACAAGCGCATGGAGAAGGTGACGGAGCATTCAACTTGAACTTGGCTGCTATTCACAGCCTGCACTGTGGTACATATTGCACCATGACAGCGTCTTGGAGTGTTGCAAAATTGGAGTTGCAATAAGAAATGCACAAGTATCGAACAAAGACTCTCAAAGAGTCACAAAGTGTGTTTGCTGAACTCGGTCACAGAAAATGGCTTTGGTATTTTGTTTTAAAAAGGTTGAGATTTTTGCCTGAAATAATGCCCCATGTGCCTAGAACCTGTTCTTTGTGAAACAATGATTTTTGCAAATAGTTATGACAGAGAGATACTGCGTTTAAGTCCATTGAATGTCAGCACATAACCAGTGAAGAAAACATGCTGCCATACTTTCTCCAGTAGTAAAGTTTAAAAGTCTAATTTACTTGGCATAAATTTCAATCGACCTTGTAGTTTTATGACGCAGATCATGATGGTAATGATTTTTTGTGATTTGAGAAATTATACCTCTGACACTTGAAGTATTTAAATTGATGTCAGCTGGATTTCCATGGAAATGCAGACTAACAATATGGTTGCAGTGCAGTTCAGGACATGACTCTTTTAGTAGCAAAAAGTATTACTCTAATAACCTTGGCTGCTGGTCCTGACATTGTGCCAAACAGAAACAAAGTTAAATTTGTGGAAAGAAGTTTAAGGACTTTGGTTTCTGTTTTGTCAAAGGCAGTGTTTTGTTAAAAAGCAACAGCATCAGCAAGTATGTTGAATTAATTGATTCATGTGGTACATGTATGTCGTACAAAATCTGACAATAAAGTCCTTTTTGACAAAAAATATAGCACTAAAACAAATAATTTAAATACTGGAATTATTCAAGTAAGAAACATAAAAAATCTGTGGTACCTGTGGTTGGGAAACTCACGTTAATGTTATTTGGCAGTGCCATTTTGTAACCAATGTTTTGAAACTGGCTAATGACGTTAAAAGTACGAAATTTGTCCTGTGACAAAATAATGTATGACACGTACATGTATGGACGTTTTATTTGGTCTGTTTTGAGCCAATAGGGTCACACTAAATTATTTGCCTCGCGGGCAGAGTTTTTCTCCAACCTATAGAACATTTTATGCTTTATGCATTTTGGGGAATTTACATGTATTTGGTAATACTGTAACTTACTCTGTGTTTTTAGGAGAACAACAAAAAACCTTATATAAAAAAATTAGGGTCATGCTACAATTACATTGTCAAGGAAGAAAATTCTTCAGCTGCCTCACAGGAGATGTGAGAAATACCTGCACCAAATTGCCACGAACACTAACACTAGCTCTAACACAGGACTTTAGAAAAATTGACCATGAATGGGACATACCCCGGTACATGTGATGTACATTTCCTATTCAGAGTCCAATTTCATGGAGCTGCTTAACAGTTTGCAGCAAAGTCGCCTTTACCATAGCAGAAAAAATTGCTAACCTTAAGCATTATTGCAGTGCTTGGCCTGGTTGTGTTTATGGTTGTACACGCGTAGCGATTTCTTTTGTTTTGTCACTAGGTTAAACAAATTTTCCCTCCAAGAAGAGTGTGCCTTTTTTCTTGCTCACTGCATATTGTCTGCATGAAATACATTGAGCCTCTGTACCAAAAGTGAGATGATAAGTGTACATTTGAATCCATTTCCTTTACTGGGTGACTGAAATCTTACAGTGCCTGAAAGTATGCACATTGTAACAGGGGAAACCTGAAGACTGTGTCGGTGCGCTCTGTCTAGTCAGGATGCAGGCTTCTGTGCAGTGTGATGGTATCTACCATCACTGCCTAATTACAAGGAGACTGGATTAGGAATTAAATCTCATGCAACCAGACTCCAGATTCCAATTGCTGGATTGATCTCTCTCAAATCGCATCGCAGGCTGGCCGGGGCGGCAGACGGTTGGAAATAAAGGGCTGAATTTTTTTTTCTCTCATTCTAGAGAAGCAAGAAATTTGATTAGACCTGAACTGTTCACTACTTTATACCGGTACATCAAAGTATTTGACCCTTGGAAAATCCACTCTTAATGTTTCATTGATATTTACAGGTTGTGGTATGGATACTTCCTATCCACATCTGTAAGCTATTCTAACTATTTAATGTGACTGGCCTTGTGCGGTAGTTGGCAAACAAGTTATAGTCAATCTTATATATGACACAAAGCAAAGACTGCCAGTTGTTTAAAAGTGCTTCCCAAATATCTGTTAATATCTACCATTTTTTCACCACCCAAAACATTTTATTTTTTTTCTGCAGTTAAAAATGGACGGAACAAAATTTACCTGCTTGTTTTGACATTAAGATCAACTTTGTTTTTATGTAGAAAGTGGTTTCACTCGGGTCATAATCTCCAAACCGATAAACATGAACAGGAATACAGAGTACTCATGTGTACATGTAAGTCGAAGGAAAAACTGTAAAAACCAATCGGAAAAAACTGCATATTTGGTGGTACAGTAACTCAGCGTTCGGCTCTACCGTGTTCTGTGTCATATGTTGTAGCGTAGCTATAGATATTTGATGAAGGATAGTGCACTACGAAACAGTGTTGCCATGTTTCTAGTTTGTTCCGTTTAAAATGAGATGGATTTTTCCGACAGGCTGTTATTGCTTTTTGGAGGAAGTTACAAAATATAAAGCAACACACAACCTGGTTTACTTTAGTAACACGGCAGTGAAAGGCCCCCCCCCAGTCCCAGTCTTGTTTGGGTTTATTATTGTCTGCTCACCGACATGTCCATGTAATGGGGCATGAACATAATATTATGCCAGTTGTGACTTGCCAGTTCATTGCAATCCCAAGTTGTCATCAGTCATAAGATCGACTCAATGCTCTCCCTTGTGAATATGTCCCAGAACGGTTTGTTGAACTGTTCTAGAAATAACGCCAGTGTTGGACAATAAGCGTACATGTATATCATTTCCACTGAGCAAAGGGTCTGGGATCCTGTGGAATTTGTTTTTGTGCCTCATGTCCACATGCATGAAGTTGTTACATTTATTAGTACAGCTTGTTGCTTTCAGCATAATACAAAGGGACAGGGAGGGTGGGAACAGCTGACTGATCTCATTTTCCTCAGGAATCAATTGTTAATATGCATAAAATGTCACTGCTTTGTCTCCTGTGGCTTCCACAATAAATGTCTTAATCTGTGCAAGGGTGAACTGCCACATTGGCTTACCACTGATCCAGTAGCAACTTTATAAAGTAAAGGGAGAAAGGATATTGCAAGAAATGGAAAGGTTGTACATGTGTGTATGCACCTTGACCCACAGGTTATTTTGGGTCAGTGTGTGGACAGTCATTTCCCCAAGTTGACTTGGAAGCAGGATAAAGGTTGTACCGACAGCACTGACGGTAAACACTGATACAACTTGCTAGTTAATTTTCGTGAGGTAGTCGTGGACTAAGTACCCCCCAGCTATTTCCTGTGGTTCTAGGTCTTGTTCCTGTCAGTGCTTCAATATCTTGTGGCATTCCATAGCTTCAACTTGTAGCCTACAACTGGTTTGTACTAGTTTGTATAAGGGTGCTCTTAAAAAAAGGACAAGTTTGTATGTTTGTTTGCATGCACTGACATTGCCATAACTGGCCAAGATTTGGTTTCTACATTGTACCAGCATATGTGGCCGTACATCTAGCTATGATGTCACATGTAATAATAGTCATGTTTCGTTTTCATTTTGTTGCACGTTATTTAACCTACATATATCTGCCCAACAGTTGAATCCTTTCTTTTTCTTCAATATATGATGCAGAGATCATTTCATATATCTGTATAAAGTTGAATGCATTGATGCTTTTCTCATAGTCTCTTCATGGACTAACTTGGCAAACTAAATGCTCACTGTGGTGACATAAATTGAAAAGATGAAGTGAACACATTTACAGTTAGGTAACTAAAACCTCATTCCTTCTGTTGCATGGTGTAAACAGTGTGTCCTACAATTATCAAGAATATATGCACCGTATTTTCAGTGCTTTGTGACTATATTCAGTTCAGTTATATACTCGGGGGAATTCTTGGAGTAGTTTTGGCTGGCTGATGGTAATATACATGTACATGAAAGCACCTGTACAAAAATAAAGGTGTGTGTGTGATCAGAGTGATTTGTGATTTGTGGAGAAAAAAAAATGATTTGAAAATCTGCCATGTTGAGTTTTAAAAATTGATATTCTTTTATTGTAGTATCATGAAGATGGCTTACCCCACTACGGCGGTTTAGAAGCATCAGCTACATCCATGTATGAAGCCCACGCCCCCCGCTCTGCAGTTCACTACTCCCAGGCCTATGGCCAGCCCAGCATACCACAGCTGAACCACGCCCCAGCTGTAGGCCACCCACAGTTCTACCCCAGCCACACCCCTAACGTCATGACGCCGGTCTCAACAGGAGTGCCAGACACACACAAAAGAGACAAAGATGCCATATACGGGTAAGAGTTTTTCCTGTTTATTTATGGTACTTTGGGATGCATGGTTTGAGCCGTTTGATTACTAAGAGATGATTTTAATTACCTGTATGAACAGCTTCTGCCTTAAGTACGTTTTTTGTTAAATTTTGAAATCGGGGCACAGTTTCATAACCCTTTTAGCCAGAGTATATGGCTCTTGGATCATCATTCGGTGCTTACAGATCTAGTACTCAAATTCTTGGCTAACCTCTGTAAATACAGAAATCTGTAGAACTTTACTAGATGTACAAATGCATCGGGAAGCCAAAGTCTACGCTGACCTATGAAATACGTTAACTGAATTTATTCCTGTGATAAGCTAATACTATTCCCCTTCTGTAAATGAAATTGGTCCCTGCATAACAGACGTTTTCACTAATAAATTCATAATTATGCACGCATGCGCACAAATGTCCTTGGCGGCAATGGCCATTGAAAATGTACCGGGGTGTGATTTTGATAATTTTCTCTCAGGTTTTCTGGCTTTGTTCATTTTTTTTCTTGAGAAGATCCCATTAAATCGTTTTTGCTATTAATTTCTAATTAAGGCGAGATTTTTCTCACTTAATCTTGTGTGCACTGGAAAAATCACAATTGTAAAGTCGTTTTACAGAGCATTAAAATCCTACTTAGATTAGAAAATAATTTAATATTTTCTGAAGAAAAAAATTAACAAAAGTCAGAAGACCTGAGAGAAAATGATCAAAATTGCACCCTTGTATATTTTCAATGGCCCTTGCCACCAAGGCCATTTGTGCACATGTGTGCATAATTATGAATGTATTAGTGAAAAGGTTTACTGGTATGAAGTTTTCAGATGTGAAATACTTGTGTGAGGAAACTATGCTCAAAATATGCTTTTCTCATAGTCTCTTCATGGACTAACTTGGCAAACTAAATGCTCACTGTGGTGACATAAATTGAAAAGATGAAATGAACACCTTTACAGTTAGGTAACCAGAACCTCATTCCTTCTGTTGCATGGTGGTGTAATATCTTACACAGCAGAAAATCACATTTATGGAATGTGCTCGTGAGATGTTTTGACTGGAAAACACGTTTGTATTAGCAAACTCAAGGAAATTAATGTGATAAGCAGTTTGTACCGGTAGAACAGGTTCACAAACCATTCAAAAGTTAATACTTATTAAAAAGACTGTGTAAATTTTCCACAAGATTGCAAATCTTTTGCTTATTTTAAAGCATTTACATGTATTTGATTGCAAAAATGGAGATACTGTCGGTCTCAGTGGATATACATGTTGTTCAGTCAGGGGTTTTGAATTTGCATGCATCTTTATACGTGCAATTTTATACTGGTACATGTATCGTTGGAACTCAGTGAAGTTGCCGCCCTCAGTCTTTCACTCTGATCTTGCCATTACCGCCATGTCTGCCGCACAAGTTCTGTCGAGCAGGTACCGGGAATTCACACACAGCAGATGAGTCGCTGATAGGATATGGCCTCCGGGGTTAGCCAATGAATCATATCAAATCAAAATGTGTTCCGAATTTACGCACGGGCACGGGCCGCAAGGAAGATGAAGAGGACTTCATTTGACCTTATTAGTCGCCTAGATCAGTCCCCAAATCAAGGGTGCCTACTAAAGAGGCGCATGTGTGTGCGTGCGCTTGTGTGTGCTTAAAGGGAAAGTGTACTGTAGGATTGTAGGTAACATCACTGATGGATGGTGCAAACTCAGTCTGGGAAAGGACCCTGGGAAGGGACAGACTGATTTGATTTATTACTTCGCTGTGATGGTGTGACTTGTGACTGTGCTAGTTGGTATTATCTTAATTGGAATTTTCCAGAGAGGATTTCTTTTCTTATTGCTCAAGTTACATGTACCAGTATGCTTTGTTAATCCCTAAAACATGGTTTGTGTGGAAAGTAGATTGAAAAAAAAATGGTCGTGTCTTTGGTTTCATAAACATTATGGAAAGTACAGTGTACATTAATTCATTAACATATGTAGAAAGAAGAGATTATGAAAATGATACATTCCACAGGTATATTATTGTGTTGTTAGTAAAGATCAAAGCATTTTATATATTTTTGTTATTTACCATCATTGTTACTTCTAGAAAACTATGAGGTTTGGGAAGGAAAGTTAAAACTGTGAAAGAAGATTTTGTGTATATCCTCATCAGTAACTACTACGAGAGCTGTGCATACTTCTTGGAATCAGAAGTTTTGACTGATCCATATTCCTTTCAGATGTACTCATTTGTCCATTTTGTTTGGTTCTTTTTACAGCCATCCCTTATTTCCACTTCTTGCACTCATCTTTGAGAAGTGCGAGCTTGCAACCTGCACACCTCGTGAGCCAGGGGTGGCGGGTGGCGACGTTTGTTCCTCAGAGTCCTTCAATGAAGACATAGCAGTTTTTGCTAAGCAGGTACTTTCCCTCACCCTTTACTGTCTTGCCACCCTTTACTGTCTTGCATTGCTAATAATGGTCGAAAAATGATTTTAATTTGGAAAGTAAATTTGACATTTCATGTAGAAATTGAAATAGTTTAATGAGCTTTTAAGCTTTTGAAATCATGTCAGATGGGTATGTATTTCTTTTCTCAATAATTACTTTTAGAGAGGCATTCTTAAATTCTGCTCTTTTGTCCTGTTATATATGCATGCCTTTATTTTTTCTTGTTTTGCCTGTGTCGTAGGTAAATATTTGCAGTCGGACTTTCCATTAATTCTGGTCACATTTTGTGTCATCTGGACTCAGTTGTAGTGATGGGGTGCAGAGAGCCACCCTGAGCAATGAAACTTTTATTTATAAAGTTTGAAGTGACTCCTCTCGTCCTGGAATGTTTCACAGCATTTTGAAATAATCCCGCATAACATCTTCAATACTGGTTGCAGATGTACATTGTAACAACACTGCACCATTTTGTATCAAGTTATGGCTCGAGGTTTTCCTTAAATGAAAAGAATGCAGGAAACCATTCTTACATTGTATTTGGAAACTGCCATGCAAAATGTTTCACCTCTTTCAAGAAATGTTTCAGTGGTCACCAGATTTCCCAAAGTGTGACATTCAGGATTTCATATTGTTCGCTCAGATTAAGATTGTGGTGTTGTGTTCTGTGCCAATTTGTAGGGGAAGCTGGTGCAAAACGCTGGCCCTTTGTACCTCGTCTACAAATTTGTCCAATATGTCTCAAATCAAGCCCCAACCTCGTGGAAAGACCCTTAGTCACATACAGTGCAGATACATGGTTGTAAATTTTTGTTGAGTGCACATTGTCATGTCACAAAGTGCTTGAAAATGAGTTTTGGAAACAGTACTTCCTAGAAATACAATCTGACCTGAGATGACTTTTTTCTTTCCTTCACTTCTGTATTAGGCAAGGACTGACAAGCAGTACTTCTCCAGTAATGAGGAACTTGATAGTTTGGTGAGTATTTCCAGTCATTGTGTTGGATTATTACTTCAAAAAATGCTTTTCTGTTGAGGAAAAGCATCATGTCAGCATCAGTATTATGAGCAGTGAGGTACAACAGTATGTTCATTACATGTACCTGCATTCCTCAAAAGTTGGTATATTTTGTTTATTGGTTAAATAGACATGGGGCAAATGTTTTTGTGTGATGGCTGGCACTATTGCAGAACGAAAATTAAAATTTAGTGGGGCTAGTTTAGATATATCATTTAGTGGGAATATAGTCCCAAATTCAGACTTGAAGATGACATTCTATTGTCGCCCTCAAGTATATGCACAATAAATATTATACTTACAGCCTCACTTACTGCATACATCAGAACGTCTCTACAAAACGGCTGGATAAAGTAATACCTCCCTTGAATTGTGGTTTGATCTCTTTCCATTGTTTGTGTTAATAAAGTAAACTTGTGTTGCTGGAATAAAAACGAATTGATAAGTTAGACCTATTAATTGCCAAAATGATTATTTGTTCCATATCCGTTTGTAATCGTAGTGAAAGATTCAAAGATGTAAAATGAATTGAATTTCCATGGATGCATTAATTGATTATGTAGTATGTACAAATATAGTTTATTGGGGATGAATCTTAAAGATAAACTAGACCTGTGAGCACAAATTTCATGATCCATAATAAAATCCCATTCTTAAGTATGAATATACTTGGAGTGTTTCTCATCTACCGGTAGCTTCTGCCAACTTGAGAACAGTTCTTATAATTAACATGTAAAACAGCTCTGTTCTGGATGGAAATGAATTTATATTCCCATGTTTACCAGTTGGAAATAAAATCTGTTAATCACTTTCCAAATGTTGCCTTTAAAACGGAACAATGCTATTGTTCGACTGTATCAAGAATGAGAAAAGTCCTGATTTTTGTTAGGTACTGGACTGTGTTAAACTGTTAACTGAAAATCTTAAAAATCACAGGAATCTTAAGTCAGTATCTGGCATTTGAAATTAAATACGGAATACACCAATTGGACCTTGTAACTAGAGGACAATCCACAATCAGAGCTCTTGAACTTGAAGTTAGCGGTTGGCTGGCCACACAAAGCCGCTGAGACCAAGCAACCCAATACCGCTTTTGATTCAGAATGACACTGGGATTTCCTGCTGAAGACAGAGCTCTCATCCTTGGGTTTCTGTGCACTCGCTAACAATCTACTTTGTGGTTTTTTTTTGTTTTGGTTTTTTTTTTGCTCTGGGCATGCCTGTTGGTCGGGGATGGCCCCAATTACTGTCACTTATGGGTTGGTAATATATATTTTGTTATTCCTAAAATATTGCATAATTTATTCATTGTCCTTACCTCAAATTTGCCTTTTTAAATTGTAAGGGATGAATAAACTTTAGTTTTCTTCTGCTCTAGACGGCCTCTGTTACAACTGAAAGCTTGTCTTTTTTGTTTTTCTTTCTTTAAAAAAAGTTTTAGTCCATCGTGAGATGCATTTATTCACTGTTGTCAGTGGTTGGTTTTTATTTTTTCAAAGAGGTATATGCCAACCTTACTACTTCGTACAGTTGTTGTAAAGAGGACTAAGGGACATTGTCTACATTTTTCCAGGAAATTGTTGAAAATATGTAGTCTCTCAGAATTTGTCTCTGCAGCTCAAAGATTTCTGATTTTTTTCGTCTTTTCTTTTATCATATGTTTTACTTTTATCTTTTTTTATCATACTTTCATCCACATTTCAAAACAATTTCAAATAACCAGGAAAAAGTGGGGAGAATTTTATGACAATGACAAGGAGGAACTAAAAGGAGGAAAACAAAGCAAAGTTTGAGCATTAGAATGCATATTTTTCGTGTTATTTTTTCACTGAGAATCCAAAGACGTTTGGGTAACCAATAATTTACATGTAAGCCTCAAATTAAGTTTAATATCAGCCATCAACACAGAGGAAACATCAGATGAGGAAGTGATTGGGCAAGTACTTCCTGGTGCCACCGATGTACAAGCCTATTCCAAAGATAACCCCAATTTTTGGAGGGGGGGTAGTGATTCATTGCCCTCACTGGAGGAGCAAGAAATGTTGAAGTGGTGGTTTACCTGATACAGATATCTGATTGAAAATAGTCATTCCCCCTCCTTGATGAATGCACAGATGGAGACGCTGCCCCTTGAAGATTTTACCAGAGAAAGATTGGCTTTGCCCTTTGCCCTTGTCTGAAATGAACTGTTAACTGGCTTTGTTGATTTTTCTAGGATTAAGGTTCTAGTTTACTTTACGTGTATCACGTGGGTGTGAAGGTGCACCTCCCTTGGCTTGGCTATCCCACCCATATCTCTTCTATTTTGGGGAGGGGTGATGACGGGCATTACATACTGTGTAATTCCGAGATATGTCAGTGATTCTGTGAGCCTGGGACAGAAGTGCGTGCCTAGGTACATTGTTGTGTTTTGGGATGTACAATCAATTCTTAATTGGATCTGAAAGAGAACGTAGACCACTTAGCACCTGCTTTGCCCTTGTAATATTGCTTGATTGTCAGTTTTGAATTGTGTGTATGTGTGTTGGTTTTGTTCTCTTGCAGATGATTCAGTCTATTCAGGTACTGCGATTTCACTTATTAGAATTGGAAAAGGTAAGTCGTTTACTTTTTTTCAGTAGCATATTTGATTGAGTCATTATGTTGGAACTCTGTAGCGCCGTTGATTTTCCTGCAAATGTTGACATGTTTAAGAAGGTGGAAAGAATCACTTGAAGTATTTCTGTTAATAGTTTCACTTTTAATTTAATTTGAATGCCGATAATCAGCTGCCTGAGCACATGAAGATTTGAATGGCCAAGGGGCTACATACATGTAGTTCTAAGTTCTTGTTTAGAGTCTCAAAGATGCCTAATCAATAGTAAGTCCATTTTCAGGGGAAAATCTCACAAGGGAGTGAACTCTTCCGAGAGGAACTGGTGCATTTTGTGAGCGGAGTTCGTCCGTTGCTGTTTGTGTTTGCCTACGGTACTTATAATCTCTCCCCACAGTTGTTGCCTTAAGCATAACATGCAGCGTCTTTGCTGCCATTCCATATTGACTATCTGTCATGGTAACAGCCTTCTGGGCTTCATGCCTGAATAACGTGGTTCATGCTGCCTTCCCTGGAGTTTTTTCCTCTTCCTTTTTTTTTCTTCTTTTTTTTTTTTTTTTTAAATCTAAGACTAATTTTCAATGCATGTCAGCATTACACATTGTACACCAGAGGACTGTGATTATATTTGTTCAAGCCATCAACAAAGACGAAAAGAAAGTAAAAAGATGCCCTTTTTCTCTTGGGGTAGGAGATGAGGCCGAATTGCCTGCTTTATGTGTTGTTTAGTGCATCCATTCATTTAGTACAATAATCTTTACCATGGGCTATTAAGCAAGATCAGATCTGATGGGAACAGATCTGTTTAGCATGGGCCAATGACCTTCATTAGCTGCAAGAGCTTGAAGACAGACTTTGTGGCAATTTTCATCAGCATATATCTGGCAAATTTCTGAATGAAAAGGTCAGTCTAGGCAATTTGGAAAAAAATTATAGGAAAAAAATGGGTATTTCATGAATCATGATGAAACGAGAAGGATGAGTAATGATTATGTGACCGCAAAACTGCTCAAAACTAGGATAACCTGAATTATGACCTGTAAAAGAAGGGCTTGACTTTTTATTCCTATACATGGCAGAGTTGTTCTTTTAAAGGTGAAAATGCTTCAGCTTGGGTCAAAAGGAACATCTAACCCTCATTGTAACTTTTCACTAAAACGACATCAATTAGTTGAATGCAAGCCATGTGTAAGGCATTAAAACAGCGTATACACATGTTCAAATGTTAGAGTTCATGGACAAATAAGTTTAATAGTTGAAGTCCTTTTTATGGCTTTGTAATAATTACGCAGATGGAAAAGTTGTCATTGATAACCATTCTGTGGCGGTCTACAAGGAATGCTAATAGAGTTATTATTTGTAGAATTTGCAATGTATTTTGTTATGAGAACATAATCTTCCCACTGCTGGCCCATACCTAGGCACAACCTAATAAGGTCCATGTGTGCAGTCAATGGAGCATAACACCACAGCATGACAGGCCATGGGCAACCTCTGTGGCCAAACCATTTTACCAGCCCTCCCCCCCTTGCCGCCAACCTCCCGTGCAACAGGATGCAACGTTAGTTAGCAGTACGACGCAATCCTCCAGCCAAGAAGAACCCAGGAAGTGTATTTTCTTCGCACAATTATTCACCGCATGTTGTGATTCATCGCGCGTGCTCCTGAAATTACTGCAGGTTTTTGTAATACAGGCCTTGAGACACTCAGGGGCTGGGTCTGGGGAAGGGGGGGGTGTTCATTCAGTCAGCGGCAGTATAATGCTGAGAGTGATATGACTCTGCAGAATTGGCATATACACCTGTTCGGACTCTGTGCTGATCAGCATTTGTTGCGGTCTTGACATGCTGTCTGTAGTCTTTTCCAAGTTTTGTCTGCCTCTCCCAAGCCTTTTCCTGCAAAGAAAAACCAAGATGTGAAAAAATTACAGGAAAACTTTCTTTGTGCTTGATCCATTTATAACCTAATAAAAACAAATTTGTTTACCAGCCAAACTGCAAAGATATCTATACACATGAACCATGAGGTTCAGTGGCCATTTTGCTGAGGGTAAAATACTGCACAGTAGGTCAACAAGTTTTTGTGCCAGTTTTTGCTTGAGCAGCACCGATGTTATGGACCAGTAATTTGTGGATTGTATTGCTGACATTCGGCATGTATTTCAACATGTTCAAAACCTACCATATCAGTACATCTGAATGAGAGAGTATGCACAGTTTGCAATGGTGAGGTCCGATCCATGGGACCGAGGCTTTGAGCACACACTTGAGTGTCCTGCCCAGATGTGGGTGCTACTGATCAGAGGGCAACATTTCAGCAGTAGCCCTCAAGGCTCTTTGACCTTACTACTTGTGTCAACACAAGCATGCACAATGCTACATGTACTTCTGAATGTATGAATGGCAAGAGTATATCCTAGGAATAAGCAAGGGGACACTTTCACCTGGATCAAGCTGTAAACGGATTTCCTTTGGTGTAAATCTTGTTACTCTATGGCCTCTGGAGTGGCCTTTGGTTTTTATTTCACTCTACACAATACCTATGGGAAATTTGCAAGTAAGTATGCACATATCCCCAACAACTCTAACAGTGCCTTCAGTCTTTGTTACCCGTATTTGTAGTAGACTTGCAGGATCCCTGAGGAACCAAGCAGAATGCTAAGCAAAAGTGGAACACCTCTGCAGAAACCTGAAAAATTGCATTGCATAACAATAAACCAAACTTTGAACAGCAATTCCACTGATTCAAATTGTTCCAAATCCGTTGACCATTTGCTGAATTTGATCCCAGAGTAATGCGTACACGGCATTTTCATGCACCCAAGATTATCAAGAGTAGTCCAAAATTAACATCTCCCCAACACAAAGTACCAGCACATCTTGAGAAAGAGTAATCTGTCCAGACGCGGCCTGAGAATCAGCGCAAGTTGTTACCAGTGATGCGGTCCTTGAACATGGATTTCTATCGTTCTCAGTTTTGATATACTTTTTTGGTTAGCATAATTTCAGAGATACAGCTGCATTTCCAATATTTTGGACAAATTCTGGATGCAGGTCTCTTCCTGCCCCTGCGTGGCCTGCTGGGCACGCCATTAATGACTCAACTTTGACATTTTTCCCATCTTTCTTAACAGCAATTAAGATAGAGGAGTGAGTAAAATATGTATTTCCTGGTTGCAAGACAGGGTCAGAAATTAAGTCTTGTAAAGACGGTAGTGTGGATTGGAGGGTGCCTTTCTTGGTTCTTTCAGTTCGCGAGCGTTCTAGGAGGGAGAGAGAGAGAGAAAAAAAAGACATGGAATCTGGTTCTGACATTAATTGAGCATGGCAAGAAGTTTCCTTACAAATTACGAGACATTTATAGCTGAAGAAATTGGGCCAGTTGGGCTGGAGCGCGTACACCTTGGGACCTGGGTAAAAGATGGTCATAGATTAAGGGGGCATGTGCACTCTACCACATCAGCTTTTCAGTTGAAAACCTGAGATGTGTATGGCCATGCTAATCTGCATCTCAACAGACTAACTACAGCCTAGTTAGGCTTTGGAAAACGAGTCTTAAACATAGTAGGAGTTTTGTGACAATCCTGTCATTTTTGTCATTTGAATGGAGCATTCTAACTGCAGATCCTTATATTTTCTACCACGGGAAACACCTAATATGAAGAAAATCTGCATGGTTAGGAAAAAATGTTCCATAATAAGCCAAGCAAAAACTGATACTGGGTTAAGATAGATTTCCTTGACTGTTCCAGAAAGTGTAGACTTCTTGTTTCGATTCTTAACCATTGTTGATCTTTGATGCTTTTAGCTCAGAGTGTACATGTACCTTCAAATAATGGATTCCTGTTTGCCAGCTCAGTAATATTTCCTAATTTTCATGGATTAGTCTGCAAGGATGACACTGACCTCTGTCCTCTTTGTTGTCCCGTTGTGTCACCGTCTCAGCTTCCAGTGCATTGGCTATATCACAACTAGTGTCCCTGGGATTTATTTTCTTCTCGGATGATTTCAAGAGCCACCAGTGGATGGATGCTACAAGGAGATTAAGATTAGCTTGAGTGTGTCAGTGTTTTGGTGCAATTTTTGTACATGGGGATGTTCATACAAACATGGAATCTTTGTTCAATTCTTGTCTGCATTTGTCTGCAGTGTGCTGGATAGGGTTAGTTAGTATTTACATGTACCCGGGTACATGTAGTGTTGAGGAAACAGTTTTGTTCTTTTTTTTCAATAAACAGTAATAACTATTAATTATAAAATGGTGTAATTTGACTGAGTGGTGTTACTCTTTGTTTGACTTTCATTCCTTTATGGAAAAAAAATTGAGTTGCAAATGAAACGCCTTACTCAGTCAGTAGTAACTTAGTGTTGGCATCACTCTCATCCTGATTGTGCACAGTGAATGTACCAGGGCACTTGACACACAACTGGAGGAATATTATCATTTGAAAAGCCCTTCCAAATGCGTCAGCTTGTTGTCTAAGGGGTTCCGCTGTCATTATGGGGTGTTGTAACCAGAGAGTAAACCCTTGAGGCCTGCACGTAACATGAGAAGCTGACAGCTTGTAATGCGCAACAACCTGTGAGTCCTCATGCTCTTTGGCCGAGAATCACGTTCTTGTTTCCCTTTCTCTCAATCCCGTCCATCTGCGGACCCGTCCTTCCCATCTCCTCTTCTTCCGTCCGTTATGTCCCCCCTCCCCTCCCGCCTTGTTAAGGGAACACTGAAGGATGCACACTTATCTCTGATGGCCTTGAACCTTGGCATGACCCAATTATGAGTAATGTGGCCCATACCATATTGGGGGAGACAGGGAGACAGACCTGTTAACTTGTTGCAGCCTTGGTCTAATTGTTGGTACAACTTTCGCAAACTGTCCTGCATATTACAAATTACTGGGTGTTCTGATTTTAGGGGGTCCACTGGGCATTAAAAGTGCACCTGCGTGTTGGCCCATTACTCACATATAAGTATCTGTATATGGACCTCCTTGTACATTGGCACGGGATTGTTGGACTAATTTCCAGTAATAATTCACACGTGGGGGGTGTCATGCCTCTGGGACTGCCAGATTATGTGGCTGTACCCTCACTGGTTCAACTGTGTAGTATTTGTATCTTTGCTCCAATTTACCCAAGGTCATTTAATTTCCGTTGGCTAAATTAAAACTATGTGGTCACCAGTGTCACTGTGTGGTAGAGATTTGTCAGATGTCCTATTTTGGTCACATTTATGAAGTTGGAGGGCTTCTGTATTGAGCTGAGAGATTCTTGATCAGAAAAAGAAGAGATTTTCAAATTGGCGTATAACATAAAAGTTCTTGAAAATCAGCTGCCCACATCCAAATGTTCGCTTGTAAATGCAGTGTCACTTATTTTGAGATGGTAGTCTGATATTACCGTGCTTTTAGAAGTGTTGGTGTACTTGTATACAATGTACATGTATGTGTGCTTACATACCCATGAAACTTAATTTTTTTAGAATAACGTTACAGCCCAGCTATTCCTTGTCAGGCTTAATCTCCTGAAGTAAGATGTTTCTCTGCATATTTTTCCTTTAATTGGATGAACGTGCTCCCTGCTCAAGCTAAACTGTTTTTAGAGTTGTAGATCTGGTCAAATTGTTTGTGGCAGCCATGAACGATGGGCTTACTGTTTAGGGGGGATGCTTACCAGCGTACTCAGTGTTAATCATAGCGGTGTGTGTGACTCTAATAATGAATTAGTTCCTGTTACATTGAAGACTTTGGGATCTGTTGTGCAGTGAAATTATGTGCATATCATGCTGGGCCTACCCTCAAGGTCCCAGAGTGCTAAGATTTCGTAACGATAATTTCCCCTGCTGTCTTTATTTTTTTTTCAACAAAGTCTCGAAATTCTTGAGCCTCACATTTATGCTTGGCAAGTAACAGAGACTCGAGTTTCAGTAGAGCAGAAATGTATATTTTTAGATGCACTGATATGCGATGAAAGAAGGAACTGACTTTTTATCTTAGTGCATGTAGTACTGTTTTATTGTTACAAGAAAGGTACATGTACATATACCAGTACGTACATTTGAACAAGCTCACCTTTTTACATTGTGAGTTGATGATTATTTTATAGTGGTTTTGGAAAGTACTATTAGCCCCATTTTTCTGAAGTTTCTTTGTTGAGATTATTGGAATCAAGTCAAATGGTTCAAACATTTTGACTTCAAACTTTAAATGAGTCAAACTCCCTTTGATTTGCACTGGTAGCCAACCAAATGTGCACAAAATGTATGCAGTCTGCTGAATTAGCCTCAGATGATCATTTTTGTAATTCTGAAGGTGTAAATTTGTGTTTCAAAGGACCAAACTCACTCTTTTAGAGGTTTTGAAGAATGGCATGCGGAGTTGCATTTTGGTTCATTTTTGGGAGATTATGCCAGATACAATATGAACCCACTCCCTTTTTTACATTGTTAGTAAATGACTCTTTTTAATATTTTTGTGGTTTAGGAAATCACTATAAACCCGATACCTTAGCAAAAAAGTCCAGTTCCCTTTTTGTTAAACAGAAAATGCATGTACATGTGCTTTTTGTTGTTAAATAGTGAAGGGGAAGAATGCTATTCAAAAGTGTATTCTCTTACTGTGTTTGTTGTGAATCGGTGAAGGAAGCCTTTTAGTTCCAGTGGCTGAGAGCATATTATCAGCTGCATGTGTTTATCAGAAGTGTCAGAAGACAGTTTTTGCTCTGGCTAGCTAGGGCATAGTGATTCTACCAATAGTACGAACAACGTCGAGTGCAAAGCTGTCTTGACCTTGAATTCATCTATAGACTCTTTGCCCATAGAAGCCATCTTGGCATTGAGGCATGTTATCAATGAGAGTAACAGTGAATGCTCAGAAAATCAATCGTACACGTCTCCTTAGATTTAAAAGGCACACGCTTCTAACATGACTACCCTGTTTCATGAGGATTTTACAGAAGAAAGAGAGATGAGAAGCATTCACATCTATGATCCTAACTCTAGCTTGCTGTTATCGGGCTTCATACAGTGATGACTACTTTTTTTTGGCTTCACCTCAATCCCTCCTTTCTCATGCAATCAGGTACATGAGCTATGTGACAACTTCTGCCATCGGTACATCAACTGTTTAAAAGGGAAGATGCCCATTGATTTAGTGATTGAGGACCGGGAAGGAGGCATGAACGGAGGAAAGCCAGGCTTGGGCGAGAACCACACAGATTCCAGAAGTGAAACGGTAAGCCAGCAGTTTTCAGATTAAAGAGTCGTAACTTGTGGGTTGAACTCAACAACTTGAAAATCTTAAGTGTGGAATTCTGTTGCAGTCTGCTTTTCATGTTGTCTAAATTCATGTTTGTGGTTGTTTCTGTATGATTAGGTTTCTTTCAAGCTAGAAATGGTCCTGGTCTGGCCAATTTCATAGAGCTGCTTAAGCACAAAATTTGCAGGAAAAGACTTTGCTTAATAAACAAAGGTTACCAGCTCAAACTCAGTCTGATTGTCATGCTAAGCGAAACAACAGCTAAATAAAATCCCAAAACAATATACATCACATAGAGTTTTGGCTGGTTACCTGATTTAGCGAGTAAGGTTTTTTCGCGCTTAAGCAAATTTTCTGCTTAAGCAGCTCTATGAAATTGGCCCCAGCTGGTGAAGGGGAAACTTGAGGAGGGTTTGAACTTTTTTGAACACTTGGTCCAGTTGTTGACCATGTGTCCTTACCTCCCAAGAACTGGTCCATTTAGGCGTTACAAATCAAACACAAATGGGATTACAGTTGTGCTGGTGCAATCTTGATTGTTTAAACACAAGAAAAAAAGGGTACTCTGTAGAAAATAGCATACAGAGCATCCACTAAAGAGCTGAACATATTAGTACCAGTACCTCTGTAGGTTAGTGTATCATTCTATTGATCAATAAGCAATGACTTTGAAAATGGGGCCCACCAAGGTATTCCTAGAAATTTTTAACAGCGAATGTGTGAAAAATACAGCAGTACCATAGTGGCACAAAGAAGAAGCCACTGATATCGGTGTGTACAGATTCATAATGTATGCAAACTGGAGAAACCTGACAAACGTATACCATTGACAGTGCTTCTCTGGCACAGGAATTTACAAGAGAAAAGTTCCATATTGCTGGAAGCAGTGAGTTCACAAGAATACAGGATAAGCAAGAGTAACACAGGGAATGAATCAGAAAGAGATACTGTTTGGATTTCATATTGTCCTTAGCCTACTGCTACCAGTACGAAAGTCATGCCATGGTAAATACACATGTTCATGTATGTTCAAATGAGCTCAGTGTAAAGGATAGTAAATTTCACTGAATGACATCGCTGAATGAAAAGCCAAAGGCAAAGAAGGGAAACTGTCCTCAGTGCTGGTATAAATATAGTTACCATAGTAAGTGAACTACCGATAGTGAGTGCAGAGTTCTGTTGTAATGTTATTCTCTTTTAAAAAATATGCGCTGAAAGTTCAAAAACTGGAGGGACTGAATTTATTTGGACCAGACGACCCACATATATCTAACAGATATCATGAACTTTGGTCAGGACTCCATGTGAATGCAGCAGATGGATAAAGAGGCATTGCGCTTAGGAAGCTGTGAATAATTATTGAGGGTAATTACAAAACCCCCGAAACTGTGTTGGATGGGGATTTTCTTCTCTTGGACATTTATATATGGCCATTAATTTTCTTTCAATTGATATTAATGCATGCGTTTAATTGGTCAATTGGGGTTTTTGCTCGTGCTTGTAATTAAATTTCCAGACCTGTACTTCGTTCTCATAATAAATGGGGCAAAATTTCCGTTTTGGATAGAGAAAGTGCAGTACCTTTTATCACAAACTGTTTTAATATATACAGAATACATTTCTTCTTTTTTAGTTTTTGGGATAATTTCTGTTGTTTAAAAAAATGCAAAGAGGCATGCACGTTGTCTTTATCAAAGTGTGTTAGATTTGATCACTTTCAAAAGAATGTTATCTGTAAAAAAAAGATCTCTCAAAAACTCACAGGATGAACAGCTTTGACATTTGACCTGCAGTGCTTATCTCAGACGTGATCGATAATCTCTATACATCTTTTTTTGTAAATTAACTAAGCACGATAGTGCTGAATTTGGAATGAGTTTTCATCAGTGGTAACCACGATAATGGATGTGCTAGCACCTCTCGTGACTCACTCCGTCATCAGTGCTTTCTGATTAAATTGGAGAGCCGAAGCGAGTCACCACAAAAGCAAACCGGGTTTGTGGTATCACATCCCAAAGCAGGCATTAACGGCCATTACTTTGTTCAGCAAGGATAGTAATAAGTACCCCCCCAAAAAAAGTATTGGGAAAGCATCACGGCATGCTAAATGAGGGTGTGAGTGCATGGGATAGCTGTTTGTGCTCCATGGCTTGGGAAACGTGAACAAATTCAACTAAACCATCATCAGATCCACAGGAAGATAAGCAGACCTTGTCCATTGTTAACAGGGGTAAAACTGGAGGACTGAATATCAGAAACCTTCACTGAAAATTGATTGCTGTATTTTCTGCCTCGTCCCAACTTGCCTCCCCCCCCGAAAAAGAAAGTATACTTAAGAGTGTCTGAATGCAGGGGGGCACCTTTTGTGTACTGTACTCGGGCAGATAAGAACAAATTCAAATCAACCATCGTCAGATCCATGGGAGCATGAGCAGAACATCTCCATTGTATGTGGAGGTAAAATTGAAGGATTAAACTTGAGAAATCATTGTTAAAAGCCTATTGCCGTGCTGCACCTATCGGTATTGTAATGCCAACCCCCCCCCCAAAAAGTGATTTTCTTCCCTTCTCGCACCGGAATATTAGCATTTGTATTTGTTATATTTTTCCGGGGGGGGGAGCTGATGATTGTGCGTGCAAAGGCAGCATGACTGAAGCTGCTTGAAACCGCTAATGGCACCGGTTTGATTGATGGGGGTGCCGATGAGAGAGTGTTTGCTCTGACCTCCGGAGAAGCTGCCTTCGCGCCACAACCACGGCGAAGAAGGCTTGCCGTACCTGCACTCATGCATGCATCTCAGTGCTGTCCTCTTCAGGGGGGGAGGTGAAAGAGGAAGAAAAAAGGGAGATCAAGATCAGAAAAAAAAGGAAAGCCTCTTGTATATAATGCATGGTTGCCCTGTGAATACAAACGCGGATATACCGGCAGATTTTAATCTATTTTCAGCCCCATTGTTTGTGTTTGGGCGGCAAGTGGATGCAGGCAGAATACACAGTGCATTTTTTTCCCCTCGGCTTTAATTTTCTGAGTGCACGCAGCAATATTCCCCCGTAATAATCCAGGGCTGCCACCTAGTGCTTTGGGCGCAGACACATCGCTGCAGTCTACTGGAGCAAAATGTTGTCTTTGTTAACGTTGCACAGTTGAAAGAAGTGAATGGCGGAAAGGAAAAACAAATTTATAATGGGATTAAAAATTGAAAAGCAATTCTGCTCTGCAATAAATATTAAAATGGGAATGGGGGTAATACATTGAATTCTCCCCTCACTGAAATAAGATAAACATGAACGCATGTTCAATTTAATTGAACTCATGTAAATGAATTACTAAAAAAGTACAAACTGTGAATCATTAATGGCACAGTTGCTTTTGCATAACTGCTTCAAACATTTTTTTCCCAATTAGAAATAGGTCCTGCTTGGTATTGTCTGTTTACAGGCACAGCCTAATTGGTATCTGATTTGGCAAACTTCTTTCAATGCATTGTCTCCATTTCACTTGAAAGATTCAATTATTCATTGTGTTGTCAACATGTATTGGCATTCCTAAAACAAGAACTGTTCTGTACAGCATTCAGAAATATCTGCACCAATTGCAGTTTTGTAAAAAAAAAAATTCTCTGTTATGCGCCTTTGCAAAAGTGTAATTTTTTTTAAGCTTGAGTAAACAGTCTGTGATGATAGATGGAGAAAAAAATATGTCAAATGAGTCTGTTTCTCTTTACTGTTGCTTTTTTGTGGGTTTTTGTGGTGGACTAGCGCAGTGTTTTCCCAGCTGACCCCAATGACCTTTACCTCCAACCCCACCCGAGACAGGGTTGGCCAGGAAAGTGAAAGTTGGGGTCAGTGCCTAGGGAGGTGGAGAAAATGAGGGGACACTCTGACTGCAAAAAAAATGTCTTTAATTGGCCAGGAGTTTCCTTGGCAACATGTGTGGGCTTTGGCCTACTCTTGTCTTGCTAAATAAGGGATTAACTTCTAAGCTGGGGCATACATACACCGGCACATGTACATGCACATTTACTTAAATTTGCCAGAAAGTCATGTGTGTACATGTATAATGGAAATCTTCTCTGTTTTTTTTTCTGAGTAATTGTTTTTTCATAATACTTGCACTTGAATGAATGTAAGTCCACATTCCAATTTGCATTGCATTTGTGCATCCATGTTCAGGTCAATACATAAACAGGGATATCCAGGATTATACACATTGGTATTGATGAACAAGAATTATTTCATATAGTTACTTTGAGGGTTGCATTATTTTATTGGTTTCTTAACATGCATGTAGCTAAAGACAGCTGGACTATACATGTACAGGTAGTTATCTCTCAGAAAATGTTTCTAACTTTCTAACAGAAGTCTGTTACTGTTATCCCTGAACAAAAACTACTAGGTAATCATAACAAATCTTTAAAAATTAGTGTTTTGAGGTCAGGAAGGAACATTTAGGATAAAGGACACAGCAGGCTTCGAAAATAAAAATTCTGTTTTCGAAGATCATCCATTTTCCATTGAAAATGTAATTTCCAAGATGGATAAGTGTGCCCATTTGCTGTCTCTTTTTGTTGCAATTTCAAAACCTCTTTACATGGTTTCCAAACAAAAGCTGTGTTCAAATGAGAATTTCCACCCCGTTTCTAGTGATGTTAGCATTGATGGCTGTACAGCACTTGAAATGGTTGTTGATGGTTTTATTAAATTTGTTCAATAATCGATGCATTGTGAAAGCTTCTCACTGTTGTTGAGATACCATCGTCCTGAATCTGGAAGAATCAACAGCGAACGGAGCATACCCCTTGAACAAAAATTATCACACGCAAAGCTTTATCTGTCCTTATCATCCTAGCCACCGATGCACAAATATCATTTATTCTGTAAAGATGTGATTAATGCACCGACAAGATAAATATTGCCTTTATGCGGAGATGAAAAATTGGGAGCAGGACATCCGAAAAGTACTTTTTATCCCACTGGACGAGATAAATTTGTGTTGTTTTAAATTTAAAGAAATAGGTCTGTCCTGACGAGATGTGGAAGTACATGCATAAAGACACATTGAAATTAATCACCCCTACCGAAAGATCAAAGGTTATTTGTTTTCTTATACATAAACAGCAAGCTTCTTTTGTTACTGTGGGGTGGTTATTCAGCAGTTTACCTGAAGTGTTTGTCAGCGAGCTTTGATTCAGTTTCCTTTATTTAGATAGGGGTTTACAAATGGCAAACTCACTGCCAGTCTTGTATGTACAAGTAGGCCCCTAACCTCAGGATCAGAATTGGATTTGAAAAAGGAAAGTACCAGTAAGACGAGATCTGAACCCTCCCTTTTTTTAATAGGAGAAAGGAAAAAAGAAATCTCGGTTGAATTTCCCTGTTCCCTTTCTGAGTCAATCCCTAGTGAAAGCTGGGGAGAAATGGGGCCTCCATCCAATGTAAACCTATCCATCAAAAATAAACACGACCCCATGAGGTCAATCTGCAGTACACACAGCCTTGCATAGGGTACACACAACCACACAGAGCAAGCCGCAGATTATCCTGTGGTCGGGTCTGAAGCCAAGAAGGAGTCCATTGTGGGGTATTGTGCAAGGCCTGTTGTGTGTAAATGGGCAGGCATATGGTGGATGTTTGTCAGGTTAAACATGGGCCGCGAGAGGACAAAGAAACTGCCGGATTTGGGGGATTTTGTAGCGTGTTGAGTTTCAGAATTTTGTTTGGAAAAATATTGATACACGAAGAAGAGGAATTTCTTGAATACGCTTCTACAGTATTTTGGTGCCTTAGGATTTCTTGGCATTGTCAATTCGCTGGTCAGTGCATCACGTGTTCACATACTGGTTTATTCTTATTAAGCGCATGAAAAGTAAAATGCACAGATGATTTCAAATGTATATGTTTCAGATCCTCTTGTGTATACCTCAAACATAAAACTGGAATAAACCACGTGAATTATCCAGTTTTTGTAGTTGTAAAACTCTCTGGCTTTTTCTATCAACATAGAATGGCTTGAAAAAGGCAGCATGCATGACTACAATCCCTAAAACCCAAAGGTACCATAACTGCATAGTCAACCATGTTTTGTGCTTTTTGCGTTCCTTTGTTTCTCTTTGCCATTTTCATTATTTTATTTTCTTAACCGAAGACATGTCATTTGTCCATCACTTTCGATATTTTGTTAAATTCTTTCCACAAATTTTGTGCGTATGCGCACCCAACTGTGAAAATGCCAGGTTTGTGCATAATTCAATAAGACGTCTATCAATCAGCGACTCCAGTCGATGGAAATTGTAATTACGCATGGGCTAACATTGAACCGCACTTACATGCTCACTAATCGGACAATTGCCTAATGGCTGAACACACTGCTTTCCTCCAGGTGAATGCATTGAGGCTCGCAGGTGATTTTATCAAATAATGTTCCCATAGAAAAAGATGGAAAAGGGTAAACAGCGGGACGGGCTGGAAGGACTTTTGGAATGATGAGATTATGCCAGGCATGAAGTTGATCATGCTGTAGATTTTTACACTGCATTGCAGGAAGACGTACTTCTGTACAATTGAGCCATAATGGCAACATGCTCATAAACATTTTGTATTATGGCGAAAAGTGACCCACTGTGAAAATGAGTCTTAAGTCGCTAGAGTTACTTTGGAGTAAAAGG